CCGGCAGGCCTGTGCGGCTCCTGGTTTGTGTGCGGGATTTGAGGTTGAGGGTTTAGGAAGGGTTTAGGTAGGGTTTAGGGTCTAGGTAGGGTTTAGAGTTTAGGGTTTCAGGGTTTTGGTTTTCGGGTTTTGGGTTTGGAGGTTTGGGGATTTCGGAGTTTCGGGGTTGGGCTTAAGAACTTTAGGGGCTTTGTGCTTTGGTCTCGCTTTCTTCAGAGTTTCCTCACACTTCTGCTTTTAGCACTGTGGGGGTTGTGGTTTTAGGCTTAAGGTGCAGGGTGCTGCGAAGAGAACCCTTGAGCCTCAAATCTCGTGCTTTGCAGGCTCTTGGCTCTCTCCAAGGTGTCCCGAAGCTGCGTAACTATGCGTGTACTATAACTACTAGGGCCCCTATATGATGCGAAACTCCCGGACCCGAGCCCTAAGCCCTAAGCCCCTGTAGACTCGCAACCAGTACGCTCCGAAACACTGCGAACCTGAACCCCTAAGCCGTTCCCACGCCTTAGACCCTCAACCCTTCGCTTCAGATGGGTGTCAGTGTCGTCACCCAGCAGACTGCCATCGTCCCCCCTTCGCAGGCACCTCATCTGATTCACAGGATTGGGGGCCAGAAAGGTTTTGGCGGCTTCATGTTTGCAAGGTTCCAAGGTGTGGGGTTTAGGAGTTCGAAAAGCCCCCCAAAAGCCCCCCAAAAGCCCCCAAAAGCTACCTTCGAGGTCTCCACCACGGCAGCGGCCCCGCCAGAGGCACTGAGAGGGGGAGGTGGTATAGGCTTGAGGGCTCTTGGGGGTGTTCCACCAGGTTGAGGGTTTACATGGGATCGGGATTAGTGGGAGTCTTCCTGAAGCAGCATCGCCCATGCACCCCGGCGTCACCGCACCATCGGGGCCGATGAGGAAAGATGGGTTCGGGTGGAAGTGTGCCTTGTGATGAGGAAGAACAAGGAAACGAATTGGGAGCAAGCGTCTGTGCAGTGTAGTTCCTCTACATCTTTTGCGCCGCGGCTTTTCCTAGGGCCTAGGGGCTGGTCAAAGATGAGGGTGTCATGCCATGTTGCAAAGCATACCCTGAAGAGTCCGAAGCAATCCGACGCCATCCGAATCCTCGAGGCTCAAAAAGCCCTAGGTTTCAGGACCCTAAACCCTAAACCCTAAACCCTAAACCCTAAACCCTAAACCCTAAACCCTAAACCCTAAACCCTAAACCCTAAACCCTAAACCCTAAACCCTAAACCTAAACCCTAGACCCTAGACCCTAGACCCTAAACCTTAAACCCTAGACCCTAGACCCTAGACCCTAGACCCTAGACCCTAGACCCTAGACCCTAGACCCTAGACCCTAGACCCTGGACCCTAGACCCTAGACCCTAGACCCTAGACCCTAGACCCTAGACCCTAGACCCTAGACCCTAGACCCTAGCGAGCTTGTGCGCAGGCCGACCTGTCTTTGATCCTCTGGCTGCTCAGCTCTCAACATTGGGCCAGCCCTAATCTCCTATAAAACACCGCCCTAAAACCCTAAACCCACCAAAGCTCAAAAATCCCCGAAAAACCCCTAAAACCCTAACCCTAAACCCTAAACCCCTAAAACCCTAAAACCCTAAAACCCTAAAACCCTAAAACCCTAAAACCCTAAAACCCTAAAAGCCTAAAACCCTAAAACCCTAAAGCCCTAAAGCCCTAAAACCCTAAAACCCTGAAACCCTAAAACCCTAAAACCCCAAAACCCTAAAACCCCAAACCCTTGAACTCCAAAACCCCGAGACCCCCGAAGCCCTTAAACTCCAAACGCCCAAACCCTAAACCCCCAAACCCTTAACCCTTAACCCTTAAGCCTCAACAGCTAAAACACTAGAACCCCAAAACCCTCAATACTTATAACCCCACCAGAGACCCCTAAAGTGCTTAACCCCCTAACGCCCTAAAACCCTATCACCCCAACAACCTAAAACCCCTAATCCCTTAGAGCCTTCACCCCTTAAACCTTAAAACCCTTACACTCCATCCCCCAAAACCCGAAAACCCAAAACCCTGAGATGAGACTATCGTCGACTACAACATCTCTCATCTGGTCGTCCCAAACTGGAACGCATCATGTAGGAACGCATCGTATTTGACTTGTGAGTGGGGAGCTCTTTCAGTTCAGTGAGCGCCTCGTAAGGGGTGGACGGAGGCAATATGCAAAAGTCCGACTCACTTTCAAAAGAAAAAAACCCTAAACCCTAAACCCTAAACCCTAAACCCTGAACCCTAAACCCTAAACCCTAATCCCTAAACCCCTAAACCCCTAAACCCTAATCCCTAAACCCTAAACCCCTAAATCCTTACACCCCTAAACCCTAAACCCTTTCAAGATTGAGGATCCGGGGTGGGGGTTCAGTAGGGTTTGTGGTGTTGTTTGGTGGCTTGGGGTTCTTGGGGGTTTCTGGTCTGATTTCTGGCATGTCTGTGGTTTCGGGTTTGGTGGTTTAGGGTTTGGGGGGTAGGCCCAAATCCTAAACCCTAAGCCCTAAGCCGCAAGTCCTGTCTAATGTAGTGAACTTGACGGTGTTGTTTGGGCAGCAACCCTCGGGTACAGAGCGCCTCGTTATGTCTTGTGCAGCAGCAAGAAGAGGGAACGAAGAGTGAGTGCTGCTTCCCCTAAACCCTAAACCCTAAACCCTAAACTCTAAACTCTAAGCCCTAACCCCAAACCCTCAACCCTAAGCCCCAAGCCCTAAGCCCTAAACCCTAAACCCTAAACCCTAAACCTTAAACTCTAAACCCTAAACCCTAAACCCGGAGGATCGGCATCGCCATCGGCCTGGTCAGCGCTCTGGCGGGCTGCGTCCTCTGCGCCTGCTGCGCGCGGCGGCGCTCGGGGCTGTCGCTGTCGCTCTCCTCTGTGATGCCCTTCGAGGTCCCCAGTTTGGGGGTTTACGAATATAGGGGACCCCCCAATATAGACCCCAACATAGTAGGATCCTTAAGTACGGACCCCCGATCCTGAAGCCCGAAAACCCCTAAACCTCGGACCTGAGACTGAAACCCTTAGCCCTGAAACCCCCAAACCCTACACCTGAAAGGCCAAGCAGGTTTCTCTCTTCGACTCAGAGTTCCCAGTCCGGGCCGAATCCCGAAAACCCCCTTTAGCTCGCAAGAGGGGCTACGCTCCAACCCTCAGCCCTAAACCCTACATCGCAAACCCTGAACCCTAAACCCTAAACCCTAAACCCTAAACCCCTAAATCCTAAACCCTAAACCCTAAATCCTAAACCCTAAACCCTAAGCCCTAAACTGTAAACCCTACAGCCTAAACCCAAAAGACCCTGGACCCTAAACCCTAAACCCTAAACCCTAAACCCTAAACCCTAAACCCTAAACCCTAAACCCTAAACCCTAAACCCCAAAAAGCTGCACCCCTCGAACTCTGCACCCTGCACCTCCCCAGAAGAGGATCCCACTGGGTCTGGCGTTTCCATCGAGGACACCTGGGGAAGCAATGTTTGAAGTTCTATGGGCCCGAGTACCGAATGTAACATTGACAATCACCATAGTACGTATTACTTTAAGATACTAAGAATACGAATAAGCCTCAGCCCTAAACCCTGAACCCTAAACACTAAACCCAAAACCCTAAGCCCCAAACCCCAAACCCTAAACCCCACAGTAAACCTTAAACCTCAACCCTAAACCCTAAACCCTAAACCTTTACGTCCTAAGCCTAAACCCTACACCTTTAAGCTCTATGACCCCAGGACAAGGAGTTCTTCTTCGTCACCCCTGTGAAGGATCGAGCCGCCGAGCCGGCGTTAGAGAGCCGTCGGGCCGGCCTCGACTTTTTTTTGTGGCTTCGAGTTTAGGGTTTAGGGTGTCGGGTTTCTGGTTTAGGGTTTAGGGTTTACGGTTAGGGTTTGAGAGAATTTGAGGGCTTCAGACAGTTTTCTCAGGGAGGGTGTGTTTATTGTGTATTGTGTGTAAAGATGTAAGGTGTGAACACACCCTAAATTAGCCTGATTGAAGTTCCGCCGTACCCTCCCCCCCTTGCGAGCAGGTCCGAAAGGTTAACAGCCTGGACACGTACAGCCGGAGCCTCAAGCATGTGGAAGCTGGGTCCCACAGTGAAAAGTCATAAGGAGGTTTCCCTGCAGCCGAAATCCTGATCCCTACCAGTCTGGTCGGGAGTTTGCAGCGTTTCCCCAAGCAGGTAGGGTTACGCTTGTTCTCGATACTGCTCAAGCGAATGTTCTCAAAGCTTTTGGCAGTGGTGTATGGGCTTTTCTCCTATTGTCCTCTTGTATCTCGCTCTTAGGGAAGCAAAATTAAGGATGGCCTGTTCTGCTGTTGATCTTCCAGGCTTTTGGGTTGCGGAGGCTTTCTCGCCAAGGGAGACTGCGAATAATGTAGAGGGGACGCGCCCTGAAACCGTCCAAGATCTGCTCCGTGAGAAGATGGATGGGCTGACGCAGCCCCAAGTTTAAGCGCCAGTTGGAGCAGGCAGTTTTCCCGCAGGGCTTTCGCAGGCGCCCGTCCATGCTGTTGCCTTGATGCAGACCTCAGTTTAGGGTCAGGCCATCCCAAGCTTGCCAGTGGCAGTGAACCGGATTTTCTTGGAATGTTCCTTGCCCCAAGTGGCGAGGCACAAAAGTTGCCCTAGACCCTCGGACCTCTCCAGCCCAGGAAGCCCCCGACACCCAGAACCTAAAACCTCGGCCTCACCCCGCCCCGCAGCCTAGGCCAACACCCTTTGAAGCAGTCCACATGGGTTTGAGGCTTAGGGTGTATAGGGTGCATTGAAGACGCGGCTCTCCTTCAAGGTCTGTCAGATCCTGCGGCGCTCCTCAAGTATTTGCTGGATGCCGATGCTCGGCGTCATTGAGAGCGCACTAACCTCTAAACTTTAAGCTCTAAACTCTAAACCCGAACCCGAGACCCCGCACCCTAAACCCAAAGCCTTAGAACCGTTCTTGCAAGGACATCCGCCTGGTGCGCTTGGCCTACTTGGTGGAGCTGCATGATGCGATGCAGCCCTGGCCACGACGGCAGGACGCAGACCCTCGTTTTAGGGCATTGACAAGGGTTGGAAAGTTTCAGGCTTTACTGTTGAACTAGGGTTGAGGGCTCTTGGTTCAGTGGTGTCGGAGGTTTAGGATCCTGCCCCCATAAGCTTGAGGCCTGTAGTAACTGCCTACATATACAGAGGGACCACGTAAGGTCCCTGCGTCAGTCATGCCGAACTCGTGTCCATAAAGCTCCTCGAGTCCCAAGCAAAGCCCGGAAAGAGTCCTTAAACCTAAAATCCCGAATGCCGTTGGACGAATCCCAAGCCTTAAGCCCTCCCACACCCTAAACCCTAAACACTCTAAACACTCTAAACCCTAAACCCGAAACCCTAAACCCTAAACCCTAAACCCTAAACCCTAAACCCTAGTCCCTAAACCCTCTTAGGCCCTCTTAAGGCCACCGAAGCCGCAGGAGGCGGAGGCGGCGGTCCTGTCCTCCGGAGAGCCTGCCTTGGTCCCAGCGGAGGAGCTCAGGGGGCTGCAGTACGAGGCCCACTTCGTTTGTGGGGTTTAGGGTTTAGGGTTTAGGGTTTAGGGTTTAGGGTTTAGGATTTAGGGTTTCGGGTTTAGGGTTTCGGCCCTCCTTCCTTGTCTTTCTTTCCTTCAAGGCTGGCTGAAGGGAGCTTCTGTTCTTGCCTGCTATTAGTTCATGGTGGGGCTGTGTGGAGCTTGCGGGTTGAGGGTTTCGGGCTTAGGGTTTAGGGCTAAGGTTTAGGGTTTAGGGTTAAGTTTGGGGTTTAGGGTTTAGGGCTAGAGTTTGGGGTTTAGGGTTTAGGGTTAAGGGTTTAGGGCTAGGGTTTAGGGTTAAGGGTTTAGGGTTAAGGGAGGATCAAGCAGAAAGACCGAGCCGGCCAGGGGAGCTTTCACGGGTTCTGGGCCAAGCGCGGGGCGCCAGATGAGCACTGCGTCCACTTCGGCTCCATCAGCCACTGCTGGGAATCCATGGAGCACCCAGCTACCAGACGCAACGAGACCTCTGTGTGCCCAAATCCCACACCCTGAACCCCAAACCCTAAACCTAAACCCTCGCCCCTAAACCCGAAAACTAAGCTCCAGCAAACCCCGCACCTGTTTAGCCCTATCATAGGCCTGTTTATTCCAAGGATCCGTGGGGCTTCCAGCTGGAGGAGGCCATCAGCCGGTTCAAGGAGAAGGAGGGTGATCGCTCCAAGGCGAAGAGTCAGGGGTTTACCGCTTGCGGGGTGTGGGGTTTCGGGCTCTTAGGGACCCTCCGCCCCGCCCCGCAATATCTCATAGCCTCAAACCTGGGCTTTTTTTGTGCTTGCAAAACTGTTTCACAGTGATAGGGTAGCTGACCTCCTGGGCCGCTTAGACTGGCGGATGCAGCTTTCTTCCCGTGAAATTCCGTTCGGTCCTGCTGATGGATGGGCTTTGGATTTTTTCGCGAGCCTTAAGCCAGGTTTTGGTTTTGGGGCGCACTTCCCCGGAAGGAATCTCCTTGAATTTGCAGTACTTGCGCGGTTTGTTTTTTAGGTTCCGGGCGGGGATTTTCGTCGCAGAGCCCAGGTGAAACCGGAACAAGGCATGCATGTTCGGACCATTCGCGCACACTAGCAACCAGCAACATGGGCGTTATCATCGTCCGGGCGTGCATGCTCTTGCGATTTGCATGTGGTGCCGGCATGCATGCTCTGACCATTCGCGCACTGGCAGAACAGACGTTATCATCGTGCATTGTTGTCAAACTGTTCACAGGTTTGAGCAGGAAAAAGACTTGAAGGATGTTTTTTGCCGACACAAAAGCGTCAGCAACGCTGTGAGTGCTGGGAAAATACTCGGTAGCAGTCAGAAGCACGAAATGTCGAAAGTAGCAGTACTTTCGCCTGGCGACGTTTGTTGCCAGCCTTTAACTTCAAAGAAGCCTCGCGCGTTTTTGCAGCCAGGTTTGGCTCTTCGTTGACTACATGTCGCTGTATCAGTACAAAAGGGACGAGGATCAGCAGAGGCATTTCAAGCGAGCGCTGGAGTCGATGCACATCCTCTATGCCCACGAGGCGGTTCAGGGTTTTACCAGGCTTGCCTGTAGATGCTCGCACGGTGTTCGTGGGGACGAGTGCGGCCTAGGGCTTGCAGTGCTCGTAGGACCTTGTAGGGTTTATTCGGCAGCTATGGCTTTGGACACGTGGCAAGGTGGTGAGGGTCGAGATCGTCCACAAGCTGACGCCGCCAGACAGAAAGGCTGTGGTTGAAAGGGTCCGGCCCACCATCCACGTCTACCAAGAGAACTGCGGCCGGGTAGTGGAGACCCCCATCTACGATCTCACAGCGAACTCCGTGCCCTACACCGAGCGAGGTTGGTGTCAGGCGGAGAAGGAGTGGGCGAATCTGCGCGAGACGTTTTCTGGCAATGTCCCGTTGCCGCCCGAGCTGTTCTCAAAGCAGCTGCTTGCTCTATAGCCCTAGAACTCTAAACCCCAACTCAATAAACCTATGTTTTTAAACTTCCTAGCGGCACTGGCCGGCAAATTTATCTCTTCAATGTGCAGCAGAAAAGGATGGACTTGCTCAAGTTCACGCACAGAAACGACGCCGACTTGGTGAAGAAGCTGCAAGAAGAGGACCGGGACCCCCAAACCCCCACAGCGCCCTAGCGCCCCAAAGCCCTAAAACCCTAACACCCTTAGAACCCAAGCCTCCCGCCCCCCAAATCCAAGAGTCCGGGAACCCTGGAGCCCAACTTCCCTACACTCCGAAAGCCAAAGCCAAGAACCCAAGAACCCTAAACACCCAAAGCCCAAAGCACTCCCCGAAATCCCCCCCAACTCCCCGAAATCCCCCCAAACCTCCCAATGTTTAGGACGGAGGGTTTACGGTTTAGGGTTTCGGGTTGAGGGCTTAGGGTTGATGGTGTAGGTTTAACAAGAGGTCTTCCACATCAAGGTCAATGCCACTACGAAGCTGAATCTGAAGCTCTCGCGGCACGAGGTTCCCATCCTCTGCCAGGCCGTGGAGCACAGGAGCCCGAATATGGATTGACTGACCTTATCCCCTTGTGATCCCTACATACTGGTGCCAAAACCCTCTTGTTATCCCCAGATACTCAGAGCATGAGCTGCCCAGAAGCTACCCCCAACCCGTTTTGGTCACGTCGGAGCCCAGATGAGGGTTTTGCGTTCGGCGTCGCAAGTGTCGCATGCCAGCTTGAAGGTGGCAAGCCCGAAACGCAGAAGCCTTTTTTCTCTCCACTTAGATTTGGGCAAGACAGTTAGCCTTCTTTTGCGGAAGTGTCCGTGTTCTCATGGCTTGTACGAAAGTACCTTAGAAAAAATGACCCAAGCCCTCAAAGCCCCCCAGCCAGAGCCAAGAAGCCCCGGCCCCCCAACAAGAATCCGGGCTTTCGGGCTTGGGCATTACGGCTCAGGGCTTCTTCGTCCTCAGGAACCCCGAACCGCCCTTCTTCAAGCCCTGGGAGTTTGTCCGAAACAAGTTCCTAAACTCTCAACCCACATCCCTAAGCCCTAAGCCCTAAGCCCTATTCATCCCATTGCCCCCCTAAGCTCCCTAAACCCTACATCCCAAGCGCCAAAGCTCGAGGCCCTGAAGAGCTACACGAACCTGGAGATGGCGACCTGCTTCATTTTGGGCCTTTTGAGGTTGAGGGTTTGGGGTGCAGGGTTTAGGGGTTTAGGGGTTTAGGGGTTTAGGGGTTTAGGGGTTTAGGGGTTTTAGGGGTTTAGGGGTTTAGGGGTTTAGGGGTTTAGGGGTTTAGGGGTTTAGGGGTTTAGGGGTTTAGGGGTTTAGGGGTTTAGGGGTTTAGGGGTTTAGGGGTTTAGGGGTTTAGGGGTTTAGGGGTTTAGGGGTTTAGGGGTTTAGGGGTTTAGGGGTTTAGGGGTTTAGGGGTTTAGGGGTTTAGGGGTTGAGGGGTTGAGGGGTTGAGGTTGAGGGGTTGAGGGGTTGAGGGGTTGAGGGGTTGAGAGGTTGAGAGGGTTGTTCAGGGCTAAGAGATTGAGGGCTGAGGATTAAGGGTTTCAGGTTGAGTGCTGCGTAGCGTTGAGGGTCTTGGGTCGACGGTTGTTTAGGACTGAGGGCTGAGGGCTGAGGGTTCAGGGTTGTAAGGGCAGAGGGTTGCTTAGGGTTGTTTAGGGTTGTTTGGGTTGTTTAGGGTTGTTTAGGGTTGTTTAGGGTTGTTTAGGGTTGTTTAGGGTTGTTTAGGGTTGTTTAGGGTTGTTTCGGGTTGTTTCGGGTTGTTTCGGGTTGTTTAGGCCTGCTGCAGCCCACTGAGGCTTTAACCAACCCGGAGCCTGGTTTTCAAAGGCTCTAAGGGACCCCAATCTCCCAAACTGTCAGGATGCCCTGCGCTTAGACAGACTCTGGGCCACCCGAAGCACGGCAGACATCCCCAAAGACCCTGAAGAACCTGAAGCCCTCAAAACCCTAAACCCTAACCCCCAAACCCTAAACCCTAAAGACTCTAAACCCTAAACGCCAAGCCCTCGACCAAACTCGAAGGTGATCGTCCGCGACACCCCCCTGGGCTGTGCCGGAGCGGTCGCCGTTCTGGAGACTGGGGCACGGCACATCTTCCTGGACGCCTGCGACCTGGGCGATGACGAGGCAAGGGATCTGGTTGAGGGTCTCATTATTTCCACAGGTCTCCCTAAGCACTAAGCCCTAAGTCCTAAACCTTAAACCCTAAACCTTCAACCCTGAACCCTAAACCCTAAACCCTTAACCCTAAACCCTAAACCCTGAACCCTAAACCCTAAACCCTAAACCCTAAACCCTAAACCCACACCCGGAGCATGGCCCAAGCCTTGCCCCCGCTTCGCAGGCCCGGGCCATGGCGGAGGTTCTGAGGCAGACGCCCAGCGTGGAGAACCTCACCCTGAGGAACACGCAGATCTCCCGGACCGGGGTCAAGGAGAGCTTCGGGTGAGAAAGAGTGAGAGTGTGAGGTCTACCTAACAGAACCCCTAAACCCCCCCAACTCCAAACCCCCAAACCCCCAAACCCCCAAAACCGTAAACCCTGCACCCGAAACCCGAAACCCAAAACCCTAAACCCCCAAAGCCCTGAAGCAAGAGAAGGAGCTGGAGGACGCAGTGCACGTCTTCAATGCTGTGGCCCTGGACATCCATGCCGATGAGGCAAGGGACTTGACAAGAGCTCTGGGATTCAGGGTTGGAGGGCTTTAGGGTTTAGGGTTTGGGAGTACGGCGAGCCGCAATTCGTGGGTCCAGGCCAGTGGAAAGCGCCGCTACAGACTCTTGCACTTTGATGCTTCCACGGGGGGTTGGGGGTTAGGCGTTTAGGCTTCCGGGCTTAGTGTATATTAATGTTGGCAGGTATGGAACTCCAAGCCCGAAGCCCTAAACCCTCGGCCTTCCCCTCCCCCCCGCCTTCCCCCCCCGCCTTCCCCCCCGCCTCCCCCCCCGCCTTCCTGGACAAGGCTGCAGTTTCGGCTGAGGGCCGAGGCTCGGAAGGCGCCGCTTGGCTGCGAAGCGAGGCCCCTTTTTCTCTCTCTCCGGCTTGGAGAAAGCCGTTTGTGTTTTCTTTAAACAGAACATCCTTCAGCCCAAAGCATACTGCCCTTGGGCTGCCCAACAAAGACCGCCTGAAGGCCTGGGACATGGACGTGCGCAAGATGCACTGGTACTCGCACTACCGGCACACCGTCTTCGCCATGATCCAGGCCTGCCACGACGAGGGCGCCGAAGGCACGGCAGGGTTTCAGGGCTTTTGGGGGCTATTGCCTGAAGGTTCATGTGATAAGTCGGGTTCGAGGCTTCTAGCCAGCTAGTGAGCTACTCCTACAGTGGCCATACGTGAAACCCCCGATGCAAGGCGCAAGGCATCGCAGGTGCCCTGAAGATAAAGAGTCTGGTCCTGATGATGTCAGAACGCAAATGCCCCCCATACGCTGTGGGCCTGTCGTGTGAGCAACATCAGCTCAGACGCTCCGTCGTGCAATACCAGGCACAAATTCACCCAAAGACTTCTTACCGGCACTCAAGCAATACATCACCAAAAGTAGCAAAGCGCCGCCAGCTGGTTGGCCGCGGTATGTCGAAGCCAGGATTCCGGGGGTCAGGGTTTTGGGGTTCAGGGCCACCCCCTAAACCCTAAACCCCAAACCCCAAACCCCAAACCCTAAACCCCAAACCCTAAACCCTAAACCCTAAACCCCGGAAACCCTACATCCCAGAATCCTGAGTTGAGTTGCGAAGTGGCCAGAGGCATCGTGCTCATGGCCGTGGCCCCCGAGCTCCAGAACGTGGTAACGCTCAAGGAGCCTCGAACTTCCCAAAACCTTCGGCTTTCGGGAGTTTAGGGGTTCAGGGTTTAGGGTTCAGGGCTCAGGGTTTAGGGTGTAGGGTTTAGGGTTTAGAGTTCAGGGCTTCAGGGTAGCAAACAATATATCGCATTTCCCCCCCCCAAAAAAAAGACTCTTAGGCCAGTGCAAGCCGGCCCTCAGCCCTAAACCCCACATGCGCAAGAAGGAGTGGCCTTGCCTGGAGGAAGATCTGCCCAGCCCTCAGCCCGAGACTAGGGTTTAGGGGGTTTAGGGGGTTTAGAGAGTTTGGAGGGTTTAGAGGGTTTAGAGGGTTTAGACGGTTTAGGGGGATAAGCGGGTTTTGGGGGGTTTTGAAGGTTTTGGGGGTTTAGGGGTGGGCTAGGCTTTCCACCGTACGCCCAAACCCCACGCGTCGAACCCTTAACGTCTAGGGTTTCGATATTCGAGGGGGGGGTCTTTCACCGATTTCATATTCTTGTTGACCCGAGGTTGGGGATTGAGTTCTGGCGATTCCCTACCCTGAGCCCAAAGCCCAAAGCCCAAAGCCCAAAACCCAAAACCCAAAACCCAAAACACCCTAAACGCTAAACCCTAACCCCTAAACTCTAAACCCTAAACCCTAAACCCGAAACCCTCACCCCAAACTTTGAGCACCCTCAGCCCTTGGGCTTGTGACTCGAGGCCCGTTGCGTACAATGGGCGCAAGTACCCCTTCTTTGATTCCGAGGCGCGGGGTGAAGTCATTTCCTGAAGCCCTTGAAGCCTTAAAGCCGTTGGAGCCCTCAAAGGCCTTAAAGCCCTTGGAGCCCTCAAAGACCTAAAAGCCCTTAAAGCCCCAAAACCCTTAAAGCCCTTGAAGCCCTTGAACCCCTTAAAGCCCTCAAAAAAGCCTTAACTTAAAGCCCTCTTCAGCCTAGGCCCCATAAAACCATTAAACAAAGTCCCTTACAGATCTAAGGCAATGACACTAAACACTAAACCCTTAAACCCTAAACTTCAAACCCCCCAGAATATATCCACAAGAACTCTAAAGCTCCGAAATGCTGCAAAAACAGGGGCGCGAAGTGATCCCCTTCAGCATGATCACCTTCCGGCGGGTTTCGCTTTCGGACCTGCGCACTTTCGTCGCACTTTTTGTTTTTGGTGTGCTTTTTTCAGGGCTGTAAGAGGTTTAGCTTCAGGGTTTAGGGTTCGAGTTTTGCTTTTGTAAAGGGGGTTTAGGGGAGGCTTTCGACTTTAGGGTTGGGGGTTGAGGGTCAGCTTAGCAGGCCTAGCCAACCCCAACGTGAAACTGGAGCCTCTATTGTGCCAGGCTCAGCCTTGAGTGATGTCCTCTAACAAGGGGGAGTGTAGGGAGGGGTTTAGGGTGCTTTGAGAGCAATCCAAGTCAACAACCCTTTGGCATCCTAAGTCATTGTCAAGCACAACGTCTGCAGAGCATGTACCTGTGAAATGCTTTGCTTTGTCAGAGCAATCAGTTGAAAGAGGTCGAGGAAAAGAAGTATCCAGCAACGCGATTCAGGTGTTGCCGACATGTGGGAAGTTGCTGCGCTAGGGCTTAGGGCTTAGGGCGCAGGCTCGACCTGGAGAATCCCACCCTCGCTTGACGGTTTCATGCTTTTGCCCACCCTGAACCCCAAACCTCTTCAATAAGACGAAAACCCATCTAAGCCTTAAAAACCCTGAACCCCAACCCTTAAAAAAAAGAACAGCAGCTGCCCAGGAGAGGAACTGGAGATGGCGACGCGTCGGGGGAAGTACGCCATCATTGCCTCCTGCAGCGAGACGCACTTCCAGGTACTCAGAGGGTTGCAGGGTTTGGCCATGGGATGAGGGGGGGGGAGTTCAGGGTCAAGGATTCTAGCTATAGGTTCTAGGGATATTTGAGATTTTGCCTTATTGGGTTGAAGAGGATCATATTGAGGTTGGCCGACCTAGGATTCAGGGTTGTTGGGGTTTTCGGGCGGTCGTCAGCGGAGGGGTTGCTTGGGTCTATAACCTGTGGGCCAGGGTACTCAGGGACTTACGGGTATTTCCAAAAACAGGGGTACCCCCCGAATAGAACAGAATCCCCTTAAAGAGCCCCCCCCCCCCCCAAAAAAAAAAAAAGTGTATCCCGAAACCCTCCATGAGCTTATGGATCCCACCCAACCCTTCGCACCCCAACTCCCCCCCCCTCCCCCCCCCCCCCCTCCCCCCCCCCCCCCTCCCCCCCCCCCCCTCCCCTAGTAACCCCCTCCTTCACCTCCCGCCCCCCCAGCTGCCGGCCACCAGCAGGAAGCCGAGAAGGCCATCCACCAGCACAACGCCGATCGACTTCCTGGGCATGGTCTGGCCATGGCCTCGGGGAGTCGGGTTTAGGGTTTAGGGTTTAGGGTTCAGGGTTCAGGGTTCAGGGTTTAGGGTTTAGGGTTTAGGGTTTAGGGTTTAGGGTTTAGGGTTTAGTTAGGGGCCATTTTTGGCGCCCACCGCACGGCCTGCTGCACTGGTAGGGGTTGATCTCAATGATGCGCCCTTCTTGGGATCGATGTCAGAACGCGCGGTCCTTTTGGACTCGTGTATTTGAAGAGGCCTGAATGGTAGAGCGAACCCCAAATGTCTGCATTCAGCGAGACTCGATTACACCATGTTTGCTCTGTCATTGCCATGATCATCGTTGCTATTGTGTTGTATTCTTATGCCTTTAGGTATCTATGCACAGATTCTATACAATTCTTCTAGCAGTAGTAAGAATAGCAATGATGGCTCGGTTCGGATGATGCTTCCCTGCACCCTAAAACCCCAAACCCTAGACCCTCTACCTCAAATCCCAACTCCTAACCCGGAAGCCCTTTCCGAGGCCAAGAGGGCCTGGGCTACGGCTTGGGATGTCTACGGCGGCTCCGCGACGCACCCTGCACCTCCAGTGCTCTTGACCAACTGCTGGATGTTTCTCTCAAGAACCCTAGATAAAACCCGAAACCCGAAACCCTGAACCCTAAACCCTAAACCTCAGACCCGCAATCTTCAGTTTCCTGAGCCCCCAAAATTCGAAGAATCGAACCTCAAACCCTGAATCTCTTCCAAGAACCCAGAAAAGGCGGATCCCCGCCCTGCCTTTGCGCAGCGGCCATCGATTGGGTAGCTTGGCCGAAGACCTCCACACTTTGGACCTTGAACCCTAAACCCTAAACCCTAATTCCTAAACCCTAAGCCCTAAACCCTAAACCCGACAGGGCTGAAGCCTCAAACCCCAAACTGTGAACGCCCGAAGAGGTGAGCCGGAAAGTTTCGGGCTCATCGGGTTTTCTCGGTGTCTTAGGGTTTCTTGGTTTTTTTTCCTTCTCCGGGCTTTTAGGGGCCCGTGGCAGAGTCGCAGTCCTTTAAGGTCCGCCAGCTCTTACAGGGGGCGGTTCTCGCAGATGCACAGCAGCGCACTCTGAGCAAGTGCATCTGCTTGCCAGCGTAGTTTTAGGTACGGGCCTTAGGGTCCACGTTTTCGGGGTCGCGGGGTTTGGGTTTCAGGGTTTGGGGCTTAGTGAGGCGACTACACTCAGATTGCCTGTTCCCAGCAGGCATGTACAGTGCAGTTGCAATGCAGCGCCTCCCAAGGAGTCGATGCAACATGCTTCCGTCAGCAAAAGGGTTCGAGATTTTGGGATTTTGAGGCCAACCTTGGGTGGGGGGGGGGGTGATCATTGCTTGAGGGGTAGGTGCAACTCTATTTTTTTCTAGGGCCATTGTGGGGGTGGGGACGGGGGCCCTGAGCCGCAAACCCTTGAACGTGTGTGTGCATGGGCGAATTTGGCTCAACTTGCCCAGCCGCTTCTGTTTGGAACTCGGGCGGCTCTAATGCCTTGAAGCCATCCAAGACCTTCAGCCCACTTCGTGGCCTAAACGCCGCTAGAAAGGACTGAGCCTGGAATGTCCTCAAAAAGCCCAACACTCCAAGCCCTGACTCCTATTCCCTGCAGCTAGCCGGGACCGGCACACTTTTTTCAGCCATGTGTTCCGCCGAAAATGGCCGCGGAGGTGGGGAAACTTCACAAGACAGCATAGGATGTGGGTTCCGGGTTCATGCTTCCAGGCTTGTGTGTTCGAGAGCTGTTGAGAGGCAACTTCATGCTTGCAGTGAGCTTCAGGGAAGCCCTGGGGTTCCTGGAGTGGAAACCCCGCAAGGCCTGTAGGATGCTAAGCATACTCTTCAGCCTAACATCATCTGCCTCCCCAAGCCTTGAATCCCAAAACCCCAAAACCCCCAAAGCCTCAAGCCCCTCCGCGCTGTGCCCGCAGACGACGGCTCGGAGAAGTCCACGGAAGGGCCGTCAGGCGCAAGCATGGGAATGTCGGGGGGGTTTAAGCCTGGACAGTTCGGCCATTTGAATATTTCCGCAATTCCCCATAGAGAAGAGTCCTGTACACATCCACGAAGCGTTAAACCGTGGGGCCTTAGGGCTTCTGGTCTTCCTCCTGGGATCAACGGATGCGCGGGCCCCGCCAAAACTTTAGGGGTTGGAGCAGCCCTCCCCCCCTCTCGCAGGCTCTCCCGCCCCAGGCCTGGGAGCCAACTCTTGAAGCCTCAAGCCTCAAGGGGACTAAACGCAACCCTACTTCTAACTTTTTTGAAGACCCCGCCCCAGCACATGCCCACGCTGTTCAGAGAATCCAGGCTTTGTCGCAAAGCCCCCCTAAACCGGTGATCCACCCAAGATGTCTCCATCTGGTGAAGCAGCTGCGGTGCCCGAAAATCGAACCCCGGGCATTAACAGAGCTTTCGGAGGGGTTCATCCACTCCTGCAGGCGAAAGCGAAAGCAGCTCCCTCATCGCTCGGCTGCGGAAGGAATACCACAACTGCAAAGGCCAGAAGCACAAGAGCTTTCCGGGCGGAGGGTTCGTTCTTTCTCGTGTTTGGCAGTTATGGTTATGGCCACTGTTAGTGTGCGATATGCCTTTTTACAGTCTACTTGGCACGGAATGCGGGATGGGCCCCCCATGCTTTGAGGCATCGGTCCACGTCCCACACCCTGCTAGGCAGTTTCAACGTGGGTGGACTTGCCGCCATCTGGTCGGCGACCCAGTGCATGCCCTACCCGAAAACCCCAAAGCCTTGACCAGCAACCCCTAAACCCCCAATCGAGGAAGAAAGAGGGCCCAGGCTCTCAAATCAGACCACCCAAGTCTCAAGATTCAAGAACTGATGCCCCCTTTTTCCAAAGTGAGCTGCTTAAACAAGCATTCGGGTTTCGGGCTTTCGGAGAGTCCGGCGCTCGGTAGCCCAACATGCTCAAAGTCGACCCTGCCGCCGGAACACCTCTATCCCAAAAAGCCCAGACCCTAAGCCCTGAACCACAAACGCACAAATGAAGCATGCGATTTCGGTCTTGTGTGTAATGCACCCCAGGCCTGCAAAACCGAAGCCCGAGGCCCAAAACCCCCAAGTTCCCAAACCCCCAAAACCGCGAAGCACCTTCTCCGGTGCTGCGAGGCTACCCCAGGCGCTTCGCTCCCGGGGAGTCCCAGCGCGTCCAGGAGGCCAAACGTCCTGGGTTTGAGGGTTTCCGGGTTTGGGGGCTTCGGGGGTTTTAGTGTTTGGGGTTTTGGGTTTGGGGTTTAGGGTTCAGGGTTTAAGGGTTCAAGTGCTTGTGAGCTCTTTGTGGGGAATCTGGCGCCATTTTGACAGCTTTCTCGCCGGCCTCCGGGGCAAGAGCACAGTCAGTTGTGGGGCTTAGGGTTTGGGCTTTAGGCTCATTCTGGGGGTTTACGGTATTAGGGGTACCTTATTGGGGTCCTTATGATAAGAAATCTACTATTTGGGGGGTTTACCTCGTATTTTCGTAAACCCTCTTCTCTCTTCGATCATGTATATCTATCTTTCCAGTGCTCCCTAACCCTTGCGTCTCGTCAAGGGTTGCGGTGGCTGGAGTTCCCTGTTGCCTTGGCAGTTCCTGCAGCCCTCCTGTCAACCAGAAGTGCTGAAAGAGGCTGCTTTTGCTTCGAAGGCCGCCATGACATGAACAAACAAAAGCCAGAAACCTTAAAGCCTCGACCCTGAAACCGAGGCCTTAGTGGCCGAGAGCTGCAGGCTGTAGCGCTTCGCCGGGGGGCTTAGAGGGGCGGCAGGGGAGTGGGGGTGCTTCAGGGTTAGGATTCAGGGCTTAGGGGTTTCTTCATGGTTCTTTACTCGTTAATTCCCCATACAGTGTCACTCTCCACACTCTACCGGGTTCTCGCGACGAGAGGAAGCAGGAATTGGTTGGGGTCTGCTTCAGCTGTCCGTTCTAATTGGGTCGAAGCACTCTCCCGTCTCGGACCCTTGCAGGCTCCTCATGAAGTCACGGAACTGTCGTCGCTTTTTCGCCTGCTCCCGCCCGAGTCTCGTGTGCTTTCTGAACGTCTCGCTGTTCGACTTGAAGTCGTGTTCCTGTCACAGTCCTATTGCCAGGTGCAGAACTGTCGTCATTGTTGGGTCCACAGTCTCCTGTGCGCGCTTTTCGCTGGGGAAGGGCGGGGGAAGTGGCTTCCCATCTCTCTCCTCTATGTCGCCGTGCCCATGAGACTGCTGCGCTCTGCTCAGGTGTTGCGCAGCAGCTGCAGGACCTTCGGGCGTTCTGAGTCCGGGCTTCGGGTTTCCAGGGCCAAAGGACGCCAAAGCCCGGTTAGATATACACTTGCGATCATTTTCTCGCATCTTCGCCAGTTCGGCGTTGAGGACCATCAACAAGTGCTCCAGCAACCGCTTCCCACGTTTTCAGGTATTTTTGGATGAACTGAGAATCACGGCACTGCAAAAATCTTGCAGCGCTCCTAGAGGGTGGTAATCTCCAGTGCATCTTCGATGGGCTCAACCCTAGGGAACCCAACCCCCCCATAAAGCTCTCAACCTAAAGACTCAATAGCACCCCTTAAACAAGCCTCAGCAAGGCACCCGCCTTTAAACTTCTCCTCAACTTCAGCACTAGGAAGACTGAACCTCTGACCCTGTTCTGTCCCTCAGCCCCCAGAGTTCGCGCAGGACCTTCATCTAAAGACCTGGATCACGACAGATTACCCGGTCTCCGAAGAGGAGTGCTCTCCCTCAGATTATTAGGCCAACTTGGGAAAGCGTTCGTGGGTTGGGGGACCCTACGTCGGAGAGCATTCCCCAGGAGGATGCCCTCGAGACCCGCGCAAGACGCTCCAGTGTTTGGGTTCGTTGAGTCCTTGTAATGGAAAGCGGTGAAGCCCCAAAACTTTGAGGTATGTGTTTGGATGCCCCTTGGGCGATGCAACATCTCAGCTCCTCCCTGCAGGTACGTCCACGCCATGTTGCTCCTAGAGGCTGAGAACGGGTGAGGGGGGGGGGGGGGCGGGGGCAGCTTGGGTGGGGGCTTCATCTTCTTGCATGTGCGGCTTGATAGTTTAAGGAGTTCAGGGTGTGAGAGTTTACATATGTATATATATATATATATATATGTGTATGCGCATATATATATATATATATATATATATATATATGTATGGAGGTTTGGTCTAACCTGATGGTGCCTTCTTGGGATATCTGTTGTAGCACCTTCTTTCGGCACCAAGATCAACCTGGAACGCTCGAAAGGATGACCGAAGGCCCCTCAGAGGGCACCTTAAACTCTCCCCCAAACCCTGAGGTGCTTTGCGCCATAGCCAGTTCTCTAAGTTATGGTCCCTTTTTGGGTGCCCTAAATAATAGAGGCAACGGGACCATAAGTTAGAGAAGTTACCCTTTGGGTTCTGAGCCTTGAGGCCTCCTCGTTGGCGGGAAGTTTTGAGGGTTTGGGGCGAAGCTGCCTGAATCTCAACCCTAACACCGAACACATCGCCTAATACCCTGAGAACAAGGCCCTCCTAATTCCCCCAAAATCCCCAAACCCAAAGAAGACCTTCTATAGTTTAAGGCCTCTTCGTAAGGCATCTTTGATCATCAAGGGGTATAGGACTGTCTGGCTGGCGGGTCCCCTAAACTCTGAACCCTAAATGCCCCAAGCCTCAAACCCCAAACCTGGCCCAAACCCTAAAGGCCCTGAAGCCTGAGCCCTAAAGGCCCTCAACCCGGAGCCATAAAACCCTGAGCCGTAAACCCTTAACCCTAAAACCTAAACCCTAAAACCGAAAACTTAAATCCTAAACCTAAACCCCAAACTCAGCGATGTCCTGGCAGGTCCCTGACCGTGCGGCCGCACAGCTGGCTGTGCCGCTGAGTGCGTCGCTGGCGAAGCTCGGGAGCCCAGGAATGAGGGATGAAGGTTTAGGGTTTGGGGTTTGGGGTTTGGGGTTTGGAGTTTAGGGTTTAGGGTTTAGGGTTTAGGCCCTCGAGCTTTGGCCATTTCGGGAAAGTTATGGGGGGGGGGGGGGTTGATTGAGGTATCTTTCTTGTAAGGGGGTCCTCCTCATAAAGTGAGGAGGCACCCGAACTTTGAACAGCCCCCCCGT